CAGAGCCAGTCTTTGAGGAATTTGAAACAAGCTTCCTAGAGACTAGCTAATGTCATCTCTGATCCTCGCAGGTGGAGGACGTGCTCCTGCGCTGCCGCGACTATCTGGTGAAGAAGATCAATGCGGACAACTGTGTGCGCATGCTGAGCATTGGTGACCTGTTCAGCTGCACTGAGCTCAAGCAGAGCGCCAAGCGCATGGTGGAACACAAGTTCCCAGCCGTTTACAAGCAGGAGGCCTTCCTGCAACTGTCTCACGAACTGCTGCTGGACGTGTTGAGCAGCGACAACCTCAACGTGGAGAAGGAGGAGACGGTGCGCGAAGCAGCTATGCTATGGCTGGAGCACGACATGGAGTCGCGGTCGCAGCATCTGTCCTCTGTGCTCAGCCAGATCCGTATTGATGCTCTATCGGAGGTTGCCCAGCGTGCCTGGTTCCAGGGCCTACCACCCAATGACAAATCCGTGGTTGTGCAAGGCCTCTACAAGTCCATGCCCAAGTTCTTCAAGCCACGCCTGGGCATGACCAAGGAGGAGATGCTAATATTCGTTGAGGCGGCGACGGAATCGCCCAGCGACGGACCCGCAGGGGGCCCTGCTCATGCCACCATCTGTTACAGCCTGCAGGCTGAGAAGGTCTACAAGCTGTCCAGTCTGCCAGGAGACCTCCAGAAGGTAGGCACGCTCGTCACGCCGGATAATGACATCTTCATTGCTGGTGGCCAAGTGCCGTTGAAGACCTCGGTGGTCAACCACAGTAAGGGCAGCAAGCTGCAGGCTGCCTTCCGCTTGGTGGACAGCTTCTTCTGGTTTGACGCGCAGCTCAATGTCTGGGTGGCCAAGACACCCATGCTGCGGGCACGGGTACGGCCCTCGTTGGTGCACTGCGCCGGGCACATCTACGCTGTGGGTGGAGACAACACGGGTGGTGAACTAAGCCGGCGCACCGTGGAGCGTTATGACTGTGAGAAGGACGAGTGGAGTATGGTGAGCCCACTGCCATGTGCTTGGAACTGGAGCACCTGCGTATCAGCACGTGATTGCATCTACCTGATGACACACGACCTGACGTATCGCTATACCCCGCGGACCGATGCCTGGGTGGAGATGGCTTCCCGGCCCACGAGCCGCTGCTTCGCCTCAGCCGCCGCCTTTGGCGACCTCATCTTCTACGTAGGTGGCCTGCACGTCGCAAGCAACTCAGGCCTCCGGCCGTGCACAGTGTCAGCGGACGGCTCCTCAGTCGACGTGGAGATCTACGACGTCAGCAAGAATGAGTGGCGCCGGGCAGCCGGTGTCCCCATCAAGCGGTATGCTGAGTCATGTGTGTGGGCTGCCGTTCTGTTGGACTCGCCATGCATCTTTGTGCGCGAGACGCATGCCAATGAACGTGCCCGCTATGGCATCTACCAGTACGATGCTGAGGCAGACCGCTGGCACCCTCGGCAGGCTGTTTTTGAGCGCGTGCTCTGGGACCTGGGCAGGGATTTTCGTTGCGCCGTGGGAAAGCTCTACCCTTCCTGCTTGGAGGAGTCCCCCTGGAAGCCGCCCACATACCTTTTTGCCCCTGACGGCTCAGAGGAATTCGAAGTGGACGATGCAATAGTGCCCCTCCCTCATGTATAGCTCACAGGCAGCATCCCCTCCCCCCAAAAAACAAAAAGCTCCACAGCTTTAGGTTGCTCAGCACCATAGCGCCACGCAAAATCCCACAGCTGAAGTGTACCCCGCCCTCACCTCCTTTGCTACGCCACAGACTGAGTCAGACAGCGCACCTGCCTCTCCCTTTAACTAGTGCTTTTCTATTTAAGAACAATCACTTAGGTTTTTGTTTTTAATATACGCTCCCATCAAGCGCTGTTGCGCTGCGTAACACACACACACACACACACACACACGTCAGAGACCCCCCTCACAGCACCAGAGGGTCCTGAACCCATATACCTTCTCTGCCACTGACTGCCGGTTTGTCATTCCACTTCCGGCATTTACATTGGAATGGTGGTTGGGGGTGGGGCCGGGGAGGCCCCGCATCCACAGAGGCGACTGCAGGTCCAGTCGGGCCTCGCTTAGGCTCCGCCCCCTCGGCTGCCACATGTCCCCAGTCCACCAGTCCCTGGATGCAGGTCTTCCACATCAGCCAGCAGTTCTCCTTCTCTCCCATCACATATGGCTGATTTGGGGTCGTCTTTTCTCGAGGATTTACCACATCATGCCTCCACTATCTGTAATAAATGCCTATATGCTGCTGATACCGAGAATATCTATTTTTCATGTGTTTAAATGGTTTTAGTGTGGAGGAGGGATAGAGTAAGTGGGGTTATTTTGTATTAGTTATTTAATATCGGAAATTACTGTAGTGTGATTGTGTAGATTATTTCTGTTTTTATTTTTCTTCTCCTTTGAGTGAACTCTCGAGCCGTCTTGTTGCTGTATGGGTCTGGACACCGACTGCAACTTCCTCCCCCAAACATGACTCCAGCGACAGCCCTGGCAGAGGCAGTGCCACACGCCCACTGTCACATGACCGGAGGTGCTTCACAGCGACTGCTACCCAGCATGCTCTGCTGCATCGCGTTCCTTCAGCACTGTACTCTCAATGGCGTTAATTTATTCAAAAAAAGAAAGAAAAAAAAAGACTTTCCGAAGTCTTCTATAGCACCCCCCCATGTGTATTCTTTAACACGTCAGGCTCGGAAATGCATGTGTAACAGTGTCTGAGTAAATCTGTACCATGCACTGAGCAGCTTGTGCCTGATTGGACAGTTTTGTTTTCCTTCTCCATGAGGCCATGCTGGTGCCTCTCGTTCTTACAGTAAATGCAGTGGTTAAGGTAAAAATGGTTAAAGTCCTGGGCTGAGTTTTTTTTTTTCTTTAAAAAAAAAAAAAACACTATACTTACCCTTCATTGGGTACTGGCTGTTTTTAAGTGTCACAGAGGGCAAGATGTTTTTTTTAAGGTGCCTGGAAGCCTTGGGGCATGGATTTTCTTTTGTACAGGCAGCTCTCGACTGATGCGAGTAATCTGTCCCAAACCCTTATGTAAATCAAATTTTAAGTAAATCAGATTTATCCCGCCATATCATTCGAGGCAACCTATACCAAAAAAAAAAAAAAAATCAATAAGCCAAAAATATACTAGCAATACGTATGGAAGAAGACATTAAATAAATGAAAAGGTAACGTGTACATTTCCTTATAGGTGTATGTCGCCTTTTTGCGCCAGCCCTTCGGGAAGCTGCGTCTTGGATAGTATTTTGCATGAGTCCGGATTCACGCGAGTCGGCGTTTACGCAAGTCGGTGTTTACGCGAGTCGGCGTTTACGCGAGTCGGCGTTTACGCAAGCCGAAAGCTGCCTGTATGTGGGAGGGAGTGGGAAGGATCCGAAGCATAGAGCCAGTACTCCAGCAGAAGGCACTGAACTCTCCATAAGGATGGGAATAACTCCTCCCCACACCCATTGCGGGCTGAACGCCTTACGGTAACTGTGTTAGCGCGTGCTGTGTTTTTTTAAAAAAGACATGTGGCGCAGTGATACCCGAGGTGCTCGCCTGCTGACATTCTTTCTGTGTGGAGAGCGCCCCCCCCTCCCCCCCCCACCACCACGTGGGTTCCTGTTTTTGCCCAGCTGACCTATATTTGAGCGGCGACACTCCGTTTTGCAGTCATATTTACAGCGACACACAGAAGGGGGGGGGAGGGGGAATAAAGATGTTTTCGGCAAATAGACTCTCTTTTAATGTAAGAAAATGACTTGACCTTCTTTCGAAAGGCATCTGTCAGTAAATATAGGGTACATTTCATCCGGTTCACATTTGAACTTCCATACATTCAATATTTCATATTGGAATATCTTTAAAAAGTACAGCAGGTTTAAAATTACGAAGTAGTCAACAATAACACAGTTTATCAAAACTGACTCTTAACACCAACAGAGGTCAATGACAACTGATAGGATATAAATAAAGGATGATAACCAACGAAGTATCACACACACACACACACACACACGAGACGTTTTCTCTCCGTGGGAATGGATTGCCTGTGGGGGTCAGCACAGCGTAATGCACGTGTATTCTGATCACAGTAGCTTAAGAAGGTGCCCCCCCCTCCCCCAAAATACAGCAGTTGTCTAAAAGAGTGCACTGGTGGTCATTAAGAGACAGGAACAGAGTTGAGAGTTTCAATTTAACCTTGCGGCAGACCTGGCATTCGAGGTGTTTGGAATCATGGGCGTGTTCTGGAACATGTGAACCGTTGCGTCCAGCATGGCTTAGTGTGATAAAACGTGCACAGTACTTCCTAACCCTGGTCCCAGTGGTCATCTTCAGTATACATTAGCTTAAACTTGAATGACTGAGCTAGGTCTTGCCTGGATTTGGCACGCCACCTACCACACCTTAGGCCTGCCCTTTTCCAGGACGACCATGGCCCTGAATGGAATGTCAGTAGAATTAAACTTAATATTCTATATCTTTCTATATCGCGATAAAGTATTTCAGTCAACATTTTTAGCTAAGGTGCTAGAAACTCTAACTTGATCAGCATACATTTAAGGTGGATCAGCATACATTTAAGGTGGCGACTTTTAAAAGGACCACAGACATCTAAAAAGGACCTAACCGTAGGATCTACAGTGATCCTGACGCAGAAACGTTCAGCAGGGGGCTGTCCAGCGGCCCACTGAGCATGCCCAGGACCCTCAGCCCGGCCCCTTCCATACTGCAGGGTGGCGTGATTCCGCTCCAAATACTGCACCAGTGTGTTAGCAATGACGACTGCTACTGACTGATAATGCAGATAGGACGTGGCTGGGGTCTAATCTGGCAGAATGCAGAAGGAAGGAGGGGGGGGGGGGGGGGGGGGGGGGGGGGGGGGGGGGGGGGGCAGAAGTCAATATATCTGA